TAACCCATTAATTAATGCAAATAATTAATTAATGAAAAGTCGGGTTGTTACAATGTCTGATCAGATGTTGTGACATCAAGCAAAAACTTTAGGTTCAAGCTTTGGTGTTTCCAAGATGCCTTGCTATGGAGCAAGTAGAATATGTAACTTGAAAATCAAGGTTGCTTGGCAGAAGACCTTCTAGAGCTCTGAAAGATGATGAGTAATCAAACAATGGCATTTATTTATTTTAGTAGTGTGCTTGGAGAAAACTACTCTTATGCAGAAGGGTAGTTATTTGAAGACCAAAGGAGGTTCTGCTTCTGTGCATATCTTGGAGCCTATGAAGGATGAGTGCCTTATTTGTGGAGAGGTATGCAAAGTTTACTGTCTCTATGTTTTTTGGATTTCTCATTGGTGGAACTGTGCTCTCTGATGATTGGATTACTATTCAGATAGTAAGTCCAAGTGGTTAGTGTATCAAGAACCATTATGAATGGTGTCTGTGATTAGGATGTCCTAACTGATGTTAGAGCATAATTTTGATTGCTGAACTTGAAGTTCAGATTGTGGAAGATGATAGTCACTAGTTGGATCAAAAGTGTTCTAAACTTATCATACGAGAGAATGATGAGGAAAGAATGTCTTGGATTATGAGGTGTCTATCTTGTTCTCTGACTCAGGCTGAGGTCAGAATACCTGTGGAGAAGTGGTTTCTTCTACTGCAGAAAGAAGTGGAGCTGTTTGGTACCTTCTCACTGTATGAGCATGAAGTTGGTCTTGAGATATAATATGGTGATCTTGGAGCAGCTTTTATAGAAGATAGGGGGAGAGTTTCTGTCTGATGGGTGTACTAGTTACCTATGGTTCAAGCAGTAAGTGAATGCGTTCAACAGGTGTGTTGAACAAGGAGTGAGCTCTTGAAGACATGAAGATGAGTCTTATGTTTTCCATTCACGTGCTTCTGGAAATAGAGCACTAGTTATCCTTGATATGGGGAGGTATACTTCTATCTAGGATATGTTGCTGCAGTAGTACAATTATTTCTCAAGATTGTTTGTTGTTTCAAGCAGTTTGTGAGTGTATGCCTCTAGGAGGGTGGAATGTCATACTAGATGTTGTGACATTGTGTTACTGTTCTAGTTCATGATGAACTTGACAGTATTTCTGTTCTTGACTCTATCATTGGGTGTCTATAGATCAAATCAGACGTGTACAAGCTTTATTGGGAGAGAGCATTATAATTTGGTTGCCACAAAAGGGATTTTTGGTCAGCAGGTTTTTGGGCCTCTATCCAAGTGCTTTGTCTTGTATTTGTATGGCTGACATCATCATCTTTGATTTTGTGCACATGTGTGGTTTATGAATCAAGGGGTGTAAAGCTGCTTGTGTGAAGATGATGAATTGATTCTTCATGTGTTTGGGTTCTCTCTCTTAGGGGGAGTGCTGATTATGCATGACAGGGAGAGCTGTGTACCTGTCTGATGTGTAGCTGCATTACTTGTGTTGGTTTAAACTAGGATTGTGCTTACTCCTTATGAATAACCTAGGAAACAACATTGGTTTTTGTCTGGGAGAATTTATTTTTCTCTACAGAATAATTTTGTGTCTCAAATTAGGGATTTAAAATCAATTGCTACTTGGTAAGTATTTAATTGATTATCCTTTAATTGGTGATGTCAAAAGTATCACTTCTGAAGGTGCAGCTTCAGACAAGGCAAGAACTCAAGATTCAAGACTGATTCAGGGTGTACTCTCAAGGAACTATGATTCAGAACTGATTTTACACTGGCTGAGTGAGTTCAGCAAGGAGGTTAAGTCATTGTCCATGATTGTTGGTGCAGTCTTTTTATTAGAGAACAAGAAATGTCAGACTTGGACACCATATGCAGTATGATAACTGAGTAGTATGTACATTTACTTCAATTTTTGTCAATTTTTGACTAAACTAAGGGGGAGTAAAGTGTTGGTATCTACCATACTTATCTACTGCTGCTGTGTTGGTATCTACTATACTTATCTACTGCTGCTGACCTGATGTTTATTTGGTGGTTTTAGCCAAAATTTTCCAAAGGGGGAGATTGTTAGTTCTATGATTGGCTAAATATTTGCAAAACATGGTTCTGCACAAATGTTAAGCAGGATGTCATTACCAATGTTATGACATTGCTGTCTGACACAACAGGAGCTGATGACAGTACTGCTATCATGTGTTTTAAACAGGATGTCATTACCAATGTCATGACATCGTTGTCTGGTGAAGCAGGAGCTAGCAGGAGCTGATGACATAACTGTTGTCATGTGTTTTAAACATGATGTTATTACCAATGTCATGACATCGCTGTCTGGTGCAGTAGGAGCTAGCAGGAGCTGATGACAGAGCTACTGTCATGGATGTCATACTGAATGTCGTGACATCGATGTCTAGTACATCAGGTGCTGCTGTTTTATATCAATTGACAGAAGTGTTTTGGATATACCTCATCAGTATGTGCAGGCCAAAGTGATTCATTAGGAACAAAGTGCAGATTTAGTGGTGTTCATGAAAAGGATCTTTGAGACTTTTTAGGAAACTATAATATGCTTGTTTCTACTTCTGTGAAGAAGATTCTGCAGAAGTGTTCAGCAGGGTGAGCTTGGTCAGCTAAGAACAAAGTGTGTTGGATGTCATGCTGGATGTTATGACACCAAGAAGGTAGCTGGCATGCACAACAGGCATGTTGGTTGTCTGTTATAATGCATGAGTAAGCTCAGGATAAATTTCAGGAGACTTATTAGGGTTCCCTAGTTATCTCAGGCGAGATTCTAGGCAGTTCTGAGCGTATCATGAAACGCCTATGACCTATTTGAAAACACCTTGAATTGTGGAAATTAGTTTTACTTTGTTAAACCTAATGTTTGTTACTTGTGACCAGCCTAAGCCCAGTCTGCATTGCTATAAAAGATGGGGCGGAAGCAAGGGAAATCAAGCACACACATCAAGAACAACTAGAGTGTAAAATAAAGGTTTAGGGTTTGAGAGTCCCGTGTGTGTGTCTTTATAAGTCACCCTTTGTATCTTTTGATACAATGTAGTAGACATACTTGTGAGTGAAGAGGTTTGCTCTTCACGTGTGTCTAGGAATCTTAGGATTCCTTGTGTGCCAAGCAATTGTATGCTGTATATTTGCTTTGGTTATTGTGTATGAATAGGTGTGTTCATTGTGTCACTCAAAGCTGTTAAGCAAGAGTGTGTGTCACTTGATCAAAGCTGTGAAGCAAGATCAAGGTGTGTTTGAAGTGTGTCTTCATATCTCCACTATAATTGTGAATTGGTTTATATCACTGAGGTGATTGAGGGGGAGTGAGTGGGTATACTCAGGTCTAGTGGTCTCTAGGCTGAAGTGTCATTGGGTAGGTCTTAAGTGAAGAGTGCAAACGAGTTGTTTGACTCTGAGTTAATTCTACTAATAGTGAATTTCCTCCCTGGCTTGGTAGCCCCCAGATGTAGGTGAGGTTGCACCGAACTGGGTGAACAATTCATTGTGTTATTTATATTTCAGCATTTACAATTCTGCACAATTTAAATGGTTAGATAAATAGTCTGTCAGCCTGTTGATGTTACAACAGACGTCATGACATTGGTACAATTTAAAGAAATTTAAATTGGTCATGGTCTGTCCTCGTCCTTGTTTGATTAGAGATCAATGTTCTTGGGACATATGAGATCTGCATACTAGAATTTCAGGGCTTAAAGTATGATTTGTACCCACCCCTTCTTCACGATGATATCCAGTCCTACGTTCAGTTAATTCTGTACACGTCTATCTTCCAAAAGGGTTGATGGTGTAAGCTTGATTATTCAAGGTTTTCTTGACATGGCAGTCACCTTATTTTGTTTTGATGGATGTCAGTGACCTTTTGGTTTTGACATGGTAGCCACTAGATCTTTTTTGTTGTTGAGGATTTAAAGGCCTCTTTTTATTTTGTTTTTGATCCCTAACTTTTGCATGGAATGATTTTTCTTGTCAGATCCATCGGGATTGCCTTGATTTTTCCCTAAGTCTTCTTTGAGGTGCTTGACTTAGAACGCTTTTGATTTTTTTGATTTTTGATTCTGTTGGAGGACTGTGACTACCAAGTCATGGGTCATTGAAGAGAAACCGTCATGTCTTTTAGACTTTACTTTGTGATTTGAGTGCGTAATTGGATTAACTCAACACTACCATGCCATAGGTTGAGTGTAAAGGTTTGAATATCCAAAGGAAACTGCTAATTCTAGGCTCGAAGTGGTTAACTAGGGATTAACTCTTTGTCTCTCCAGTGTTTGGGGATTGAAACAATTCCTGTACATCATCGACGAGATTCTATCTGAGAGCATACGATTTGCAATTATGGGTATTTCGTTGTCATCATCCTCCCTCCAATCATGCTAAACAACAATTGATAAACAGTGAAGTGGACAAAATATGTGACTGTGGTTCGTGGTAGAAATGAGTGAATACGACACAAGTAATTCAAAGCATGCATAATCATTAAATTAATAAAACCAAATACGAATGGAAATTTTTCAAAGAATATAATACTTAAACAAATAAAGATGAAATACAAGAAAGAAAAAGATGAAGAGGCAAAATGATTGCCTTCTTTAGGGAGCTGAACTTGACTTGACTTGATCTGACTTGGTCTGACGCTGGCACTAGCTTGGCGGCAGCATAGGTTTATTGATGACGTTTGTGCTTGACACTGTTGTCGAGCAGCTTATTGTTGTTGATGTTGAGGAGGATACTGATACACTTGATGATTATATGATTGTTGCCGAGGAGCCTGTTGTTGAGGCATTTGAGCTTGGACAAATTGAACAACTGCATGATAAGGTATTGGAGCGTATTACGTAGCAGCAACATACGAATATTGATAGTAGGGATCTGATAAGGCGTGAGAGCGGGAGCTTATTAAGGAGCTTTCCCTTTCTGTGCAGAGATGGCATTTGTTTCACCCTTTTTTTTCTTGTATCCATTAAAAGGCTTCTTGGTACCAACCTAGCTATTAGAACCTCCTTGTATCTTTCCACTTTTCAGGCCTTCCTCAATTCTCTCACTGATAATCACCAATTCAGAGAATCCAATAGACATACTACCGATCAACTTATCGTAGTATTGGCCTTGCAAAGTGCCCATGAAAATGTCAATCAGTTCACGGTCAACCAAAGGTGGATGCATCCTTGCAGCTAGCTCTCTCCATTGTTGCACGTACTCCTTGAAGGATTTGTTGTCTTTCTGGGCCATACTCTGAAGTTGAGTACAGTTAGGAGCGAGGTCAGTGTTGTATTTGTACTGCTTGACAAATGCATCAGCTAGATCAGCCCAAGTACGCATATTGTTATGCTCCAGCTGTATATACCACTCGAGAGATGCTCCAGACAAGCTATCTTGGAAGCAATGAATCATCAGCTTTTCATCCCTGGCATAAGCAGTCATCTTGTGACAGTACATCTTCAGATGTATATTTGGGAAACTGAGGCCTTTGTACTTTGAGAATTCCGGCGCTTTAAACTTGGGAGGAATGACAACATTAGGCACCAAACATAGTTCCAAAGAATTAAGAGAATTTGAATTGTTCCCCTCCATGACTCGGATTTTTTCAGCTAGATCACGACACATCTTGATAGCTTCAGAATCTTGAGCAGCAATAGGAATGGAAGTAGGGATAGTAGCATGATAATTTTTTAGATCATCATACTGATCCAACAGATTCTCTTCGGCATGAGGAACGAGGATCTGAACAACAGTATGTTGGGCTTGCGGGATGGCTCCAACAGTAACTCCAGGCGCTGGGATTGGTTGAGAAGTGGTTCCTTCAATTGTGGTAGTGAAGTTCATTGGCATCCCATAAGTCATGGGGTTAGGAATAGGAACTGAGAGCCTTGAGGTAGACCCTTGCACCTGACCATTGTTGTTGACAGCAGCAACTTCACGCAGTTCATCCTCCTTTCTGGCCGTAGTTATGGCTTCGAGAATATAGTCAATCTTTCCTTTGAGGGAATCCAACTCTTCTCTTAAGGCGACTTGATCTTGCTGAATCTGCTCCATCATACATCTTGTATTGGCTATATTTGCGTACTGGTGTCGAGGAATCAGCTTGATTTACCGGAGAGGAAGGAAGAAGAAATGAGATCCTGCTGAAGGAAAGAAAGTGTAAGATGCACAACAGATGCAATGGAATGACATGTATATAAGATGCAATACAAGATCGCAGGATCACAGGTTTAAATAGTTCTGAGGTTAGACGGATGAACGGGTCAAGAACCACAATCACTGCTCAAAGAAACCCCATGGGTAGGAATCTAAAACGGGTAAGTGCCTAGAGTCATGGATATCTTTCAAAGATATTATAGCCATGACAAAGCCTCATCACGACAATAATATCCTCAAAAGGATCTCCTCTAGGTGAGGCTTTCGTATCTTCCACACGAGAAAGACTCCTCGGAGGTGTCAACTACATAACCATCGACACACGGGTTCTAAAACAGGTTCTCAGAGTCATATGTCGAGGTTGAAAATATTACTGTCAGGAAGTAATACGTTCAAGGGATCTCATCTAATTAAGACATTAGTATTAATCCAAAAGTAGTTAACACTACCAACCACCATGGATAAAATGGGTTAATGGTCCTTGGGATCAACGATTCAGGCTCAAAAACATTATTGATATGGCAAAGACTCACCACAACAATAACATCTCCAAAGGAATCTACTCCAAGCAGGATTTTTGCTTCGACCTTACATGGAAGAACCCACACAAGTCTCTACTATACAACTACCATCCTAATCCTAGGGTTTTACTCAGACTCGAGTGTAGAGTCATCTCACAAAGTACCCATAAGCAGAGTAACCCAACAATGTCACAATAATCAAAAGCAATAAAGATAAGGATAGGAAAGAAAATAAATAAGCAAGCGAGAAGAAAACAACTAAGCGAAGCTAACAAGCTCACAATTCAAACTAGATAGGCTCTAATTTCTCTTGCATGGAGCAAACTTCCCCAGCAGAGTCGCCAGGTGTCACACCTCAAAAATTCATTCAAACATACGTCCCTCGCGCTAAAGGCGCGGAATGCGGTTCGACAGATTCGCCACCGAACTTTATTTATCCCAAAGAGACGGGGAAGAAAAATATTAAGAAAACCTTTTAAAAGGAAAGGACAAGAACACGACCGTCACAACCAATATTCCGGGTTCGGGAGTAGGTTACGCAAGGGGAAGGTATTAGCACGCCCCACATCCGTTGTACTCAACGGGAACCTGTTAATTTATATTGTGATGATCCTTAGCTAAGCTTAATTGTTTTCTTCTTTATACTAAATCTGAAACAGTATAATAAAAGGGATAAAATGCTAAGGGGAAATGGGTGGTTAAAGGATAAGGTGCTCGGCAAGGATTGGGACCCTTGTGCCTACGTATGCTCATTCAGACGAGAACGAGAAATCAGAGCTTTCGTAGTTCGACTACGGGAAAGAATAAGGGGGAAATAAAATATGGGTAGAAGGTAGCTCGCCAAGATCATCACAATCTTGTGCCTGCATATCTTACATTTAGACGAGAATGAAGAATCAGAGCATCTGTAGTTCGTGGAGACGACCACAAAAAGAGAGGGGTTGAAGTATGTTTGGTTCGAATGACGATTACTCGAAGCTTAAGAAAGGATCATCGAGCCCAAGTAATCAGGAGAATGAGTCAAAGACTTGACTCTTTCTCTTTTTCATCTTGAAAAGAAGTTGTGTTTGAATGGTGTTTGAATAATGAGTGGTTTGAAGGTGGTTGAATATTGTCGAGTTGGAAATGTTTTTGAGGCTTCAATTGGTTACACACGAGTAAGATAACCCGCACCTAAATAACTTAAGGGAGATCAAAGGATCAATCCCCCTCTTTTCACCTTGAAAAGAATTAAATAGTTATTAATTGTATTGATAGTTTGATTGAGAAAATCCACTTGACGTTGGATCAAGGGTTTGACTTATATTCACGTGCAAAACCGTGGTGGAATGGAAGTTGGTTTGAAAATGGTTCGACGACGAGTCGAGGATTTGGTTGAAAATGGAATTGGCTTGACGACGAATCAAGGGTTAGGCTGTGAGAAATGAAACTAACCTCTGAGGGTGCTCCTAATAACTAAACCACGATGAAATGTTAAAATGTGTGTGATAGGTTGATGGCGAATGTGTACGAGCACTAGACTTATGGAGGGTATTTGAAAATGGCTCGATGACGAATCGAGAATTAGTTTGAAAACAGTTTAGTCTACGCTAGTCCCTAAGGGTACTCCTAGAAGATAAACCACAATCAAAGAAAAATATGAATGCGTACATCAGAATGGGAGAGGGATACATGTAAGTTACATATGATTGCATGAAATATAAGGGTTCATTGTCAGGTAGCCCAAGAGAAAGCCGTGTGTGTTCGAAGTGTCCTAAACTATGTCTTGAGTAAGATTCGGATAAATTTCCTTCGTTAGGGTTTCTGTACAAAGTCAAAGTTCTGTTGCTCGGAAAAGTAACCAACAGTCCACCAATTTAGGATTTTATGGTTTCGATAATTGTTATTGTGTTTAAAAAAAGTGTGAATGAGATATGAACAATATGAATACGATATGAATATGAACAATGTGAATAAAATGGCAAGATATATAACAATATGATCAAGATAATATCCACGATAATATAATCAAGATAATATTAACAAGTGTATGAACAAAATAATATAGTCAAGATATAATGAATGAAATTAAAACAAGAGTATATTGACGAAAAGTAAAGTTAGTTGTTAGTCGATTAGAATTGAATCGAGACAAAATGTAGTACTAAATCGTCATAGCTCGATCTATGACGAAGATCAAACTATAGGAGGTCGCAAGTCGATATCCGTGCTAAAAACACGACGAAGAAACGATATTGAGGATCATTTTCTAATGTAATCGTGTCACACAGACCTTAAAAGGTGACAATCTCATCTTAATCACAAACTTGTGTCAATTAATTGAAGGTAACCTATCACGATCTCAAAGTATAGGAAATGATCTCAATGATCATTCGCTATAGGTTTGAAATAATGAAGGTTAAACAACCTCAACCAACCGACATTCGTTATATTAAAGACTTTCATTGATCAAGATCGAAAAGAAAATGGAATCGAAATGAAAAGAGAAAGGGAAATCAAAATGAGACAGAAAAGAAAATGGTCTAATCTTAATCATGGATTTTCATCGATGAATCGATAATCCACGACTATTTAAATGTTCATCGACCGGTAATAAAACTAAAGTAAAAAATAAAAGTTGAAGAGAAATAAAAAAGAAATGTAAATCAAGTCATTAACAAAAATGTGATAAATTTTTTATATCTTTATCTTTTTGTTGAAATAAAAACAAGGAATATATATATATATATATATATATATATATATATATATATATATATATATATATATATATATATATATATATATATATATATATATATATATATATATATATATATATATATATATATATATATATATATATATATATATATATATATATATATATATATATATATATATATATATATATATATATATATATATATATATATATATATATATATATATATATATATAACTAAAGTCAAAAATAAAAGTTGAAGAGAAATAAAAAAGAAATGTAAATCAAGTCATTAACAAAAATGTGATAAATTTTTTATATCTTTATCTTTTTGTTGAAATAAAAACAAGGAAAGAATATATATATATATATATATATATATATATATATATATATATATATATATATATATATATATATATATATATATATATATATATATATATATATATATATATATATATATATATATATATATATATATATATATATATATATATATATATATATATATATATATATATATATATATATATATATATATATATATATATATATATATATATATATATATATATATATATATATATATATATATATATATATATATATATATATATATATATATATATATATATATATATATATATATATATATATATATATATATATATATATATATATATATATATATATATATATATATATATAAAGGGGGTGTGCTAAGAATCAGCAAAAAAAAAAAAAGGTGTGGGATCATATGGGCTTTAAGTCCATCACCCACATTAAAGCACTCGGTTATAAAAAAAGGGAGTGGTGAAGCAAAAATCATGATGGTCTCTTAAGCCCATGATCTATTCATAACATGACTTGGGTGGAAAAATAACAATCAGATGTAATTTTAAAAAGGAAAAACGAAAGACAGTAGGAAAAAATCAACGAGTTTGCATCAAATGAAAAAAGGAAAGGGCAAAATAGTGTCGCAGCAACAAAACCACGACATACATCTTCTTCTTGAAATCGCGAATCTCGTCCTTTGGTTTCGTAAATTTCAGGTTTGTATGACTTATGTTGTTTGTTTCGGTTTTGCATTTTTGTTTCCGATCTCGCTCTTCACCTCTTCTCATATGCTCTTCTCTGATTTGATGTGTGTAAGGGTGTTTGAGTGAATTGAAGGTTGTACGATGGTTAGATTAAGTTTGAAGGGAAGATTAATGGAAGTTCTGATTTGATTGAAGGAGGTGAATGTTGTATGGTCGATTAAGGTTGGAATTGGCTGAGGAAGATCTGGGTTGAAGCAGAAGAATGGTTATGGTTGCTTTGTGGTTGAAGATTTGGAGGTTAGTTTGGGGAGGAAATTTGGCAACATATCTTTGGCGTTAAAGCTTCCGCCACTGAGGGATGAAAAGGCTTGTATTGATAAAGTGAGAGGTGAGTGAAATTTGTTATCGAATTGCTCGTTGTTGTTTTGCAATCATGATGACATTTTGCTAAAGTTTGTTTTCTTTTGTTGCCTTTGCGTTTGGGTGTGTGTCGCAACATGCGAAAAGGGTCGGGGGAAACAAACAGAAGAGTCTCCACCGAAAGTTATTTATCCCAAAGAGAGGGAAAGTAAACGATCGAAGAAAACCTAAAAGAACAGGAAAAGGAAAGGTCATCGCAACCAAATCTTG